AAAACTTATCGAGTCCAACTTTGTTCTTTTAAATAGCATTATATACTTTTTAATGCACTAATCAATCCATTTTGACATTCTCTATAAAAATGTATGGGATCATTTATGGTGAAAAATCATTAGTTTAAAAGATATTTAATTAAATTTAATTATTTTTTGAACTATAAGTTTTTTATATGTCTTAATACTTTTTAAAAGATACATTTTTTAAGTAGTAAGTATAAGGAATAAAATAGGTAAGTATTATATTCTATAATTATTAGATTTGAGTAAAATGTTTAAAAAATTTTTTGTTGCAGGAAAATCATCTTCAAAATGGAGGCAAGTATCAAGGCAAACAGAAGTATTTTACGAATAATTTTTTAAAACTATCGAATATTTTTGTAAGTCGATATTAAAAATGTAAATATAAAAAATGTAAAAAATATAAAATATAAATAAAGTCACCAATTTTTGTGAACGAACCGTAGTTTTTATTTATTTTCCTAATCCCAAAATTCCTATTTCCAATTTTCCAATTTTTTGACATCATTTCCAAGAATTGTTGAAAATCTTGATCGACCTCCTATCAACTTATATTCTCCTGTTAAAAAATCGAATTTTTGGACAAAACTTTTTACTCTATGCTGAAAAGTCATATTTATAAGTATAAAACAGGTAAATATACTATATTTTATAATTAGATTTAAGTAAAATGTTTAAAAATGTTAAAAAAATCATCTTTACAATAAGGTAAGTATATAAAGGTAAGTAAAGGTAAGTATTTTATAAATATTTGAAAATTTTCGAAAAATTTTGTAAATAAACATTGAAAAATGTAAATAAACAAACCGAGAATGTAAATAAACATTGAAAATGTAAATAAACATTCCAAAGTTGGTAAACAAACCGAAATTTCAATTCCCGGGCCCAGAATTCTTTAAATTTTCGAAAAATTTTGTAAATAAACATTGAAAAATGTAAATAAACAAACCGAGAATGTAAATAAACATTGAAAATGTAAATAAACATTCCAAAGTTGGTAAACAAACCGAAATTTCAATTCCCGGGCCCAGAATTCTTTAAATTTTCGAAAAATTTTGTAAATAAAC